CCTGCTGGGCTCCGGCGATCCTTCTGCCTCAGCCTACTGAGTAGCTGGAATTACAGGCGCACACTGCCACGCCCGGCTGATTTTTTGATTTATTGTAGAGATGAGGTCTTGCCAAGTTGCCCAGGTGGGTCTCGAACCCTCGGGCTCAGGCAATCCACTCACCTCAGCCTCCCAAAGGCGCGGGATTACAGGCTGAGCCACTGAGCCCGGCTTATTCTTTTTTTTTAAAGCAGGATTTATTGAGAGGGCAGAAAAGCTCCCACAGTGGGAGGGGCCTTGAGGAGGTTGCCCAAAACGTGTATCTATTCTTACATGTTTAAAGTTCAGTGCCGGACACGGTGGCTTACACCTGTAATCCCAGCACTTTGGGAGGCCAAGGCAAGAGGATTGCCTGAGCCCAGGAGTTCAAGACCAGCCTGGGCAACTGGGTGAGACCTTGTCTCTACAATAGATAAAAAAGTTAGCTGGGCATGATGGTGCAGGCCTGAAGTCCCAGCTACTCTGGAGGCTGAGGTGAAGGATCGCCTGAGCCCAGAGGGTCAAGGCTTGGGTGAGTTGTGATTGTGCCACTGCACTGCAGCCTGGAAGGCAGTGAGATTCCACTCGAGACAGAAACAAAAAACTTCGGTCACCTTCCAAGTACTCTCCATTTGATGCAGGACACCTACTGAGATGCTTTTTCCGCTGCTCAAAACAGTTTTTGCACTCATCAGTTGTGGTGCTTTTTAGTGCTTCTGTCGTTTTTTGTTTCGCCTCTTACACATCAGCAAAACATTTCCCTTTAAGGACTTTTTTCATCTGAGGAAACAAAAAAAAGTCACTCGGGCAAGACAGGGTGAGTAGGGAGGGTGGGGGATGGGGGCCTGCATTTTGGGTCAAAAGCGGCCGAACACTCACCACGGTGTGGGCAGGTACGTCGTCAGGGCGAAAGAACCAGTCGCCCAGCTGCTCCACAAACTCGGGACGTTTCTTCCACAAATCATGAGCAGCCTTCTCAAAACTTCCAGACCCGGGCTGGGCTCGGTGGCTCAGCCCGTCATCTCGCGCCTTTGGGAGGCTGAGGCGAGTGGATGGCCTGAGCCCGCGGGTTCGAGACCC